GTATTATAACTGGACGACTTTGGCAAATTGACCACATCACGTCGAAAGGATGATAAATTTTGAGTGAATCTAAAAATTTACGAATGAAATGTTTATAAGGCAGTGTTTAAAAGTTGAAGGCAAAAAGTTACTTTTCTTTATTCTTTCCGGAGACATTACGTTCAATGCCACACATTAAATCTTCGAACCATTGAGCCATAGTTTGTTGCTTGTCCATTGGTTGTGCGCGAATTATATTATCTTTAAGAGATCTGAAACAAATTCAATAAGTTATATGCAAGTACACTTTTCCGTAAACTCAAGATCTAGACGACACATTACCTAAAAAAATCTTCATATAAAAGAATTAGAACCAAGAGCGGCCTTGACATTGACCATTGGTTTCTACATTCTTCAGCCATTACGTTATTTAAGAGAGTTGACATCATATTTTGAAGTAACTCGGAATTCATTTTAACAACCTTGTAAAGTAAAGATATATAAAAATGAAATAAAACAAAGTAATTATTATTTTGCACATTTCAACTAAGGATAACTGAGATATAATCACATTTTACTTTGGCCGTGGAACAAAGTATATTACCCTTTTGGGGATATAACATCCATAAGGACTTAATAGCCACCTTTTATTATACCAATCGTTTCCAAATCATTTTCTGAATCGATTTAATTTGTCCGTTTGTCTGACACGTGTGCAAGTATTTTTGTTCAACCTACATGGCGAAATGTGACGGACAATTTTTGTTCCAAGGACGAATTCTATCGAAAATTAAATGTGTCCGACGATACCTACCACATATAACATTTAACTTTGAAGAGTCTTTGTACGAAAATTTATAATTTTTTAAATTTCCCCACAAAAAATGCTATGTGTTAATATTTCGGTATACCAACTGGATCTAAAAGAATAGATTCGGTTATGACAAATTTTATTTAACCCCTTCCCACGCAAAAAGACCGAATTTTTAATATTTTATGGTTCCTAATAATAATTACACATAAAAATTAAATATATTAAATTTGCACCATGTAGGCCTGTTTTCGTAATGCCCAAATGTCAGCCTTTTCATGAAAAGTTATACGTGGAGAATAATAAGGTGTGCTGGGCCCACTCCTATATGCCTTTACATGGAAACAAGATTAAATTTATAATATTTTATTATGAAAATAAATGAAGAACTGTATTAGGCGAAGCGCTGTAGGATATTTAATGCCTGGCCTCGTTCGATTATAATGTTTTCACAGTTTTATTTCAAAATTATTAATGATGTACAGTAATATTGGGCTATGTGTTCTATTATTTTACCCTATATCTTTTAAATGCATTATGTGTTGAATTGTTCAGAGATTATTAAATTCTATTTAACTTTTGTATGATGGATTCGGACTTTTACATTTACCCTACAAAAAAAGCGATGTATTTACAGCGGGTTGAAATATATACGTATATAAGTACACGGAAAAATTTGCTCATTAGGAATATAAATCCTTCGCCGTGTCATTAACATATATATTCTAGGTATTCCACATAAAATACAAAAATTATTAAGCGTACCTACCCACCTACTTCGGTGGCGAGTGCATTTAATCAATAATCAAAAATTTTCTAAATATTTACCTCTAAAAATTGTACATTCTCAGGTGTTAGGCTGCGTAATTTCTTATTGGGGAATGTAGACACTTCAAAGATAAACATTTTGACATGAATGAATAAGAAGAGGGCTGTAATATAACTTACTTTTCAATTGCAGCAATTTAAATATGTAGGAAACAATACAATCCAATATGGAACAACAACTTATATATATAGTTGAGTCTGAAATGTGACATTAACGCAAATAGGCGTTAAATAGGCAAGTATTTTTAGTAAGTTCTTAACAGATATGAAAACTTGCCATGAGCGGAGAGGCCTTTGGAGAGACTCTCTAGAATGTAAACAAATGCACGAGGTTCTAGTCCAGCCAGAAAATTTATATGTTCTTGGGATAGACAATTCAATAAATTGTAATATGACGATGAAAGTTTGGGATATTCCTGGAAAAAAAAAAAAAGGCATAGTTCGAGAGGCATAATGACGTATTTCTCCTTGGTACTAACCAGTAAATCATTTTGTTGTATAGACGTTATCATTTTAGCGGCTATATTCAGAACGTTATCTAACGTGTCATCGCCATATAATTTAAAAACACCAAAATTTACATAGTTTCCCCCTAAAGCATTTTTAAGTCTGGTAAAGCATACAGAAATTCCTTTCAAACGCACAGGGTATTGTTGATCGCGTGGCACATCCAAGTGGAGTATGCGGTTGCCGTAAATGCAAATGAGTTTGGAGGCTTCACGAAATAGCAAAATACCCATTGGGCTGGAAACGTGGGCTTGTAAGCGCTGCGTTCGGCAATGAAGCAATTCAGCAAACAGTTTGAGTACTGGAGTTGTTACGGCAGGATCATGAGTCCACAATTCCACAGAACGTATTAATATAGGCATATAGTCCGAGTAGTATCTACGAACAGATATTTATATTATTTTAAAATATTATATTTATCCATACTTACAGCCATTCGAAAAGCATTGTAAACGGTATTCGAGCATTAAGCGGTTGCGCTAAACCACGTAAGTCGCGCGCCAAGCCAATTATGGCTTTTTTAGCCTCTTCATTAGGGAAACTGTTGGCATCCATTAAAACAGGGCCCAACGATTCAAATTGATCTGAGCATATCGAAAAAAAAGGAGAACATGGTATTTTGGAATATCGCTATCGAAATAAAACTATAATATATATTTACTGGTAAAAGGTGTGAGAAAATTATAAAATCGTTCTTCGTCTTCTCCCAAATCAAACATGAGTAACCGTCCTAAAGAAATATAAAACATGGTGCGGCAACGCATTTCTGTCAGCGAGGAATTTGTTCCCAAAAATGGAAAATGCTCACTCTGAAATAAAGCAAAAGCAATCCTTAGTTACTGCATTTATGGCAGATTCTACTTGCAATTCTTACCGTGTGATGTGTTAACATAAATTGAACTTCTTCAAGTTTGCTTAGCTTTCGCACCGAATTAAAGTGAACAGATAGATCGGATAATAGCATTAATGTTTTGGTTATGATTTGTTCCGAATGACCCCAAAATTTTAAATTGGTTATGCTACATAAACCGAAAAAGGTTTTAAAATATGATCCGCCATAAACCCATTGCATTTAGTTAGTTTCTTCAATTACTTACATTTTACGATTTATAAAACTCAGTAACATCTGTTCATCACTTAAACCAAACACTTCATTCAGTCGTTTATAGACATTTGCCTTTGTTTGTTCACTGATATGCATTTTTCGAACTTGTTCCAAAAAACTGAGTAAAGCTAATTCAAGTTTTTCACACCCGGCTTGAGGCAAACGAGCGTCTGTTAAACGCATTAGTTGAAAGACCTAGAATAAGGAATATTGTTAACAAAATTATTCCTTTTATTCACCGCTAGTTTTACCTACACGTATAACTAATTCGGCGTCCATTGTATCATGATCATCGTTGGAATTGACCGTTAGCCGCCCTACAATTGCCGAACCAATAATATATACTAACCAGGTCAATTGCAATTCATGAATGCTGACGTCCATTGGATTGGAGTTTACATTTTGCAACAGATTCTCATATTCACGAGCCTTCTGATCAAAATGTTGCACCAATAATGCGCAAGTCTTTTCGTATTCACAACGTTCAATTACCGACAGTTGCTCAAGTTGTTGTTGCACCATACACAAATCGTCCAAGGGGTCATCAATATTGTCCCGTACTATCACCGGTACGGCATCAAGACGTGATTCTATATACGCTTTAGTTACCTCTGGTGTATAGGTGCCTAGAAGGTGCGGATCAACCGATTTCACATATGGTACTGAAGCTACCATACGTTGCCACAAAGTTAATAAATAGTGTACACTATTAGGAGCAAATTGCCACATCTGTAAAAATAAAGATTAGTGAGCGTTAAGCACAATATAGGATTATATTTATTGCAGTTTACCTGCAGAGATTGTACGGTAAACTTAGCTATGAGAGCTATGGCTTCCGGATAACAAGGCACGGCTATAAGGTCCCCCAATTGATAATTGGACTTAAGACGGGCCAATAGACGACAAAATTCATGATAATTATCGGGATCGCTTAAGCCCTATGTTAAGGTTATAATAAATTTTAATTTTGTTAATTTGGAAAATAACCTGCACTTACGTGTAAATTAACCAAAATATTTTTAACACCTTCCACTAAATGTGTCAAAAACTTTGTGCGCTCTGAATTACTAAATAAAGAACGACGCACAGAAGTCATCTGTAACAGCAATGTTAACGATCGTGAACATGCGTGCATTTTTCTCATTTACAACTTATCTCACCTGTACTAAACACGACAGAGAATAACTAGCTAAGCCATTCGGTAAAATTTGATACAAGTCAAAAAACAGTTTCAAAGTGTTAGGATCTAGAAAAGCAGGACGCCAGGAAGTGGGAATTTGTACACTATTCATGTCATCAGACGACTCGTCTGTGGAGCTACCAATGAAATCGAAACTTAAGCAGTTTTTTGTCAAACGTAAAACATGCGAAATAAGACTGTAAAGAGAAATAAAAATTAATGCCTATTTAAAGTAGCTTTTTTCAAAGTTGTACTTGACGTATGCTTGCTGGGATTCATCCATGAAATTAAGTGTTTTACTATTGTCACGTGCTGTCACTAGTAAAGAGCAAGATAGTAGAAATATATCATAAAGTTGCTGATCTCGAAATGATGAGGCAATCTTGCGATTTTTTGAAAAAGTTAAATTTGCGTCAAGTTCCACTATAGAGTTCATATCCAAAACCAGTTGTGATAATATCTGGACACCCACTGTGCAATGTTCTACAGAACCCTGAAATATGTTTTGTTTTAAATAGTACAAATTCGTACGATATATACTGAGTTCAATTCTATTACCTGTAAGAATGTTTTAACATCTTCCAAAAGATTTTGAAATATTAATTCATTTTTGTAGGCATCAAACCAGCCATATTTTGTGATTTTTGCCAAAAGAGTTACTAACGCTTGTACAACAAAGTGTTGCAGATTTAGGCGTGTAGCTAAGTAATTGAGTACATAACTCCTGAAACGGGCGTAGTGAAGGGAGATGGCATTAAAGAAATGGTTCTTCTTTTGCATTCCCTTCCAGGGTGCTTTTACACTACTTTAGTTTCTCTTACCTTATGTCAATGCGTTGTTCTAAATTAAGACCCTGTATTAATTTTGTAAGTGTGGTGGCGGCCAATAATTGAGCATAACTTGAATCGGCCCGATCAAGTAACATTTGACATTTCGGTAAAGCATCTTGACTGCTTACAAATTGCACTAACGTCTTCTCAGCGTTTGATCGCAAAACTGAATCAGTGGCCTCATAAAGCTGTTTACACAATATCTCCAATTGTTGGATCTCCTATATCGGTAGACAATAATAATAAAAAGCAATTTTATTGTACATAACCTATAAAAACGTTGTCACAACCGGTCTCAGAAGGCATTACAGCAAATTTATTTAATTTTTGGTAATTTTAATACAATATCTTTTGCAAATTACTTTTGTTTACAATTATGTATACTTACCATTTTTGCAAGTATTCTTCAA